TAGACATTTATACACCATTCGATAGCCCTTTTCAAGGGCTACATTCTAGACTATTTGTTTTTGAAAAAGGAGCAACTTCGATTTTTCACCTAATGTCCGCCTAGATGCCCACTGTGAGGATGTTTGTTATAACTTATATAAAGGTCGGATAAACTATACTTATCTCAGAGTTATTCGAAAATGTCTGCTAAATTCGTTGAATCTACTCATGGTAAAAGATAATCACCTTTGCTATTGCTATTGTTTTAAACGTAAAAATCAAAATTCAGAATTCTGGGTATGTGTACAATGCAAAGCAACAGCAACAATTTATCCAGATAAATTCACCACACCCTAATATTTAAGGAAAGTATATATACTGTTTAATTGGTACACATATTNAAAAGTTTTAATCAAATAATAAAAAATAAAAATTAAACAATTAAACAATTAAAACTAAAACATTAAAATTATAATTCGATATTTCGACCTATTAATCCGGTCATTTTCAAGTTTCTCCTCGTACAGGATATGTAACATCCTGTAATTAATAGGTCGAAATATCGAATTATAATTTTAATGTTTTAGTTTTAATTGTTTAATTGTTTAATTTTTATTTTTTATTATTTGATTAAAACTTTTTATTAAAATTCTTAATATGATAGCCGCATTGGTTTTAAAATTTCTATTCTTAACTTTGCCCATAAACTCGAAAAACGTTAAATCCATTATAGCAAAAAAAATTTATATCTCGCATTTTCTATAAGAAAAAAGCTAATTAAAATAAAAATTAATCATCAGAAAGTAAATCCTGTAAATCGTGCATATATATATATATATATATATATAAAGTCTTGGTTTAAAATTTTATTGAAAATAATGCTGTAAACGAAGAAGAGAAGAGAAGTCTTTCATATATATATATATGTAAATAGCTTTTTTTTTCATGCTATGTGCAGTATTTTGCGAAAAGGATTTAAACGAAAAGATCCGTTGTTAAAAGTGGTTGCTGATAAAAAACTAAAAACAGATTTATAGTACATATGACTGTAGTACTATTTTTGTATTAGTAGAATTTCTAGTAATAATCTTAGAGTAGGATCTATAGGTATATTAGGATATGATCTGTAGTGATGTAAATAAATTAGACATTTATAATAAAATAAGCTATTAAAAGACATTAGACTCTAATTAAAATAAGTTATTACTAATAAAAAGTTTTTAATTCCAGTAGAAATAGAAGAAAAGGGCCTTTAGTGTAAACATTTCTAGATATTTCTGGTACTTAAAGTTCTTTACCCAAAAGTGAGGTATTTTATAGATTTTTCTAACATCTCAGGTATTTCAGGTGAAATCTCACCCTTTCAGTGATAGGTATCTAATTTGCCAATATTTATCAGTATCCATAATCCATCTTCAAAACCGACACGGATCATCGATATTGTCTCGTTTTGAGGTGAAGATGGAGGATTGACTATCCTGATAATTTAGATATGTTAACAAAATTTTCGAGTTGAAATTTGAAACGAATTGGTTGGATGTACAAAACTGCTGGAAAAGTCGTGAGTTAATAGTAATTCAATTTAAAATTACAGATAGAAGAAAATTAGATTCGGAAAGTGTATTTAATAAAAAAAAGATATTCTACATTGAGGGTATCTGTGAGACAAATATTATATACCTTACAAACAACGAAAAAATCTCATAGTTATCTAGGATTATGATCATCTGAGAAAAAAACCCACTGAATTTAAGTTCTTTACACCAGCAAGTAATCGTTTGTCATTTTTAGTTTACATTATCTTTATAGAGAAGTTTCCATACTAAAATATAAATACAAACAACTCTTTTAGCTAAATTGACAATGCTATTTGTTCATTTGCTGCTTACGTTTAAGTCGATCTTTCTTTTTCATTTGATCATATCCAGCTTTCGCTGTTATAAATAATGCTAGACCGCCAGCTAGAGCATACAGCGTTAAAATAATTTTATCACGATTAAACATTAAATAAACTTCTCGATCAGAATGTTGCTAAAAATCGATAGAAAAAAATCAAAATATTTGATCATCATTCGCATATATTTATTATTACTTACCAACCAGTGTAACTGCAATTCTTGTATACGACGTGTACGACGTTCAACATAACGATCTAACATGCCTTTTCGACTTTTTACCTGTGTTATTGTATCATCATCACCTTTATATGGTGTACGCCATAAGTTAAGTTGTTCATGCGGTACCACTGACAAGTCATGATGATCAAAGTTATAACGATGATTACTGGCATTGGCAATGGCAACACTATGTGCTACACCGGCTTTGGGTAAAACGGATAATTTTGTTACAACAGTTTTTAACATCGACATTGGACCTGTTTCGGCTTTTAATAGAAAAGAAAAAATGAAACATCATTAGATAATTTTGTAGAACCGTTTTTCGTTTGTGATGTGAAAAAAAATATTTGATTCTGTTACACGTGGAAGCTAGCGAAAGTTCTAAATAATAAACTAATCCCATCCGTAAAAAAGGAATAGGAATAAAGTAGTGCTACCTGAGCCAAATAGATTGAAATTTAATTCTAAAATAAAAAGAACTTATAAAAAGTGACAAAAATATGGCAGTTTTTCTTACTTCTACACTAATAGAATTTTTAATGAACTGCACGTAAATTCATGCAGATATCTAGAAAAAAAAGTTAAATTGCAAAGTCAAAATTATAGTATAATGTTTTTATTCTCACAGAAAACATAAGCATATTTTATACAATCAGAGACGCCATTTCTTGGATCTTTTGTGGAACTTCTTATCTATTATTTCGAAAAATAAGAGTTTGAGAACAAAATTTATACACAAAACCGCTGCATCTTACCATATCATCTTTCTACACGGTTAGCACATCAGGATTAAGCGAAGCAATTTATGAGAAGTTTTATATTTTTAGTCTCAAACGGGGCTGCTCTGCTAAGATTTTCTCTTTGTCTTTAGCGTTCAGTCTCAGTTTTTCCCATCTGAGACGGTATTATGAGAATACCAATGTTATTCTGTGAGGGAAATTATAAACATGCGAAGAGAAAATATTCCGATGCTTATTAGGTTAAGTAACTATTTCAGAATTTTTGTATCGTCTGATTTTTTTGTCACAGAGGAACTAAATGTAGACAAGATTTTGTTACAAGAATATGAAAGCTTAAGTCAAATTCTTGAGGTGTCTTGATTGCTTTCAGCAAAATCTTTGATCAAGAAGTCTTGTACTCAATCAAGACCTTGATAATTCTTGAACTGTTTAATGAAAATGTAAAAAAGTTTTTCACTAAAAATTTTGAATATATTTTGTCAATATCATGAATTCTTAATGTTTTATCCAAGCGTTAGATGCATAGATAAATTAGAAAAGATTTCGGTGAAAATGCACAATGGATTTCGTATACAAAAGTTTGAATAAGATCAAACGCAACGCGGAGTGCGGCAAGATGAAAGTGGCTGACAAAGAAAAGCAGGATCCTTTGTGCGTTTTTTATACAATTCTTTGTACGGGATCCATTGTGCATTTTCACCGGGATCTTTTAAATTCCTGTCTTAGACACATGTTCTGAACTAAGATATTAGCTACAAGAAGTCTTACTCGGGATACTTCCATGCAGTTCTGTTCACTTACATGATTTATAAACCGACAAGATCTGACTATGCGCACTGTGAGGCAGTACTAAACGTAGAAAATACGACTAGCATATACTATACAACGTACATCGGGTCGTTTTGTCAGTGTTCCAAAGTAACTCTTAAACTTCAATAAGCGCTTAAATCCTGACATAGTCTTAGTTAAATATTGATCTAATTCGTGGTGTTCCACCACACATCTCAAATGTCCACTTAAGTTTGTCGTAACTTCATGAAATGTGATCGTAAGTAGCTATTGATGTAAGACATCTCGGGAGTTATTTTGAGTCAATGCTATAAAACGACACACTAAAACTTGGCTTTAGTTTATGTTCTAAGATTATTGATGAAACGACTGTCAAGACAACTAATACTGAAAGTTTATCTTTGAAAAATAATAGTTTCAATATTACAAAGAGAAGAATAACATATTCTTCTTTCATCAGTGTTTAGGATGAAAGAAGAGTATGTGCCACCGCGGAAGTACTCCAATATCATATTTAAACAAATTTACAGTAGTTGATGTGTAGTTGTGTCGACAGACATTATGCAATCGTTCAGGGATCCTTTTTTTCTTCAGTCACTTTTTTTTCGCAAAATGTACACGACGTGATCTAGCGAACTGCGTAGGCTACATAGAGAAGTTCTGATTTTCAATAGCTTTATCTCTCTACATACAGCATGTGTCGAATATGAAAATAGCTCAACAAAATGTGGGATTGTTATCGTTAATTGAGAAAAAAAAGCAAGGGAGTTCAATTATTTTTATAGCGGTCGATAATGTTGACACAGATGGTAGACATTTAACAATGTTCATCAAGGAAAATAATATCGACATAAAGAAAATACATTGTAGCAGTTTTAGAAGTCATTCTCATACAAGATGACAAAATGATCTAATAAATATGTTTCCATAATCATGAAAAAAAACGTTTTTTTATTCATATTAAAAACGACAATCACGACTCTTGAATCACTAAATATAACCTGATGATGTGTCATCATACGGACTTAAATCATTTTAAGAAAATTTGCTAATAAAAAAAGTTTAATGCAAACTGACATTGTTCTATTATAAAGAAAACGTATTTATTAAAATTCACAGTTACAGTATATTGTAGGTAATCATTTGCATGCATCACGTTATTCTATATTATCGATTATATAATTGTAATTTTCGGTCAACAACAGGTGAACATTGACATAACTATGTAAATAAATTCTGTGATGATTCATTTGAGAAAAAAATTTTAACCGACAAAAGTTATCCTTATATAGTTAGTTATTCACGCTGATAAAACTAATGTTTACCAATTATTATTTGGCAATCACAGAAAATCAAACTATTACGATAATAATTTATTAGAAACAAAAATGACAAACTTAACGAACAAAGAAACAACAGTCGGAAGAGCAATTTATTCAAGGTTGATCTTTTATTTCTTGTTTCTGTGCTGAGGTGGAGAAGTAATAAAAACAACCCTACACCATGTAGACTTTCTGCGTCCATCAGATTTACCAGTTTTAATTTTCAATGAGTAATATGGCACAGTTTTTCTCTTATATTCTGTATTGTAACATATTGTAACAAAATCTGTTTAATGGATTCATTGAGTTAGAACTTTGATTCGTGGAGCACATTAACAAAAAAGAAACGTGTCCGAAATAAACAAGGGACCTTAATATGAATGATTATTTATATTACATTTAGAATGATTGATGAAAAATGAGCAAATCTACTGTAGAAACGCTTTTGCGTAACTTAATGATCGTTCCTTCCTTATACAGTGGGTAGTCACGTGGACATTTGGTAAAAAAATGAAAGTACACTTTTTTAAGATTTAAATAATGTGAAATATTCTTCGAAAGACGGACTATTTAATGGCATAGAAATTATTGTTCCTGTTGTCATAGTTCGTCGAAAAACATATTGTGCAAATTTCGCCCAGAAATATAGCTACTAAGAAATAAAAAGCGTTATTATCGAAACTATAAAACATTGCTGAAAAAATCATACATAATCTAAAACTAGATGTTACGGTCTATTGATTCATAAAAAAATTTTCGTTTTTATTCTTTGGTGTTCGGAAAAATAATTTTTCTTTCTATGCTAAGTGTTTTCCAAAACCTGTGCTCAGTATAATGCATGAGCACATTTGCGCATAGTTCCAAACTGAATGAAACTTTGCCAAAATATGCTTCTACTAACTATAATACATCTACAGAGATAGTATAAATTAGTATAAATGATTCTGGACTGAGCTATAGGTTTTTTAAAAACTCCTTGATTTTTTAGGTAAAATCTATTTATCTCAGTCCAGAAAAACTTTTATTAAAAACTAATGACATATTCGGAATCAGCGCATAAAACTGCATCAAACCGTGTGTGATTTGTAACTTTTTCTAAGAAAAAAATTATTCGATATAACGGAATGCTAGAGTTGAAGCACTACCGTCGGGCGTTCTGGAAATCCAGATAAAAAGCGTTTTTAAACTTAGTAAATCACACCATTGAAAAGAACACATCTGAAAACCTATAAAAAGAGTGTTCATAAGCTTTTACACTGTTCCTAAGACAAATATCTAAACGCCTAGTCAAAATTGTCCACTCTGCCTTATTACTCGAATAACACAATCACATTTTTATAGATATTAAATTCCTATATAATAAATACAAAAAGATTTTGGTGTAATTTTTTGTTGTATTTATAAATAAATATGTTTGTTTTTTATTTTTTTTTTTCATTACATATCTTACAATTTCAAAAAAATTAATGAGAGACTATGCAAAGAGAGAAGAAAGGAAAAAGAAGTTAATTATGCCAATGTATATGTGTGAATAGATAAAAATAGAACATGGAAATATATTGAATATACAGAAAAAAAACAACATGAACCGCTATATACTTTATAGTAAGAAGACATATATTTGAATGTGATTAAGTTAAAAATAGGTCTATCAAAAACGTTATGTATGCTCCGTGTTACTGCGATAAGACAAAGAATTAGTATAAGGAGGGAACAAGGATATTTGATCTCTATAAAATAGGAACATGAGAAAATCTCTTAACCATAATGAAACTACAATTTTTGAAAAAGAAAACAAAACGGAGAGAAACGCGATAAATTGCACGATAGGTAGAGATAATGAGCAGAATGAATGAATGTCATCGAACTAGTGTAGTAATTAGGCAAAAAATAAAATAAAATAAAATATGCATTTTTTAGAATGAAAAGACCCATTTCACCGGTCGTTGGAAAAAAAAAACAGAAGAACTACACACAAAATACTGAGCATCGTAAGATAATAAATAGAGTTCCTGCTGTTTGTCTATATATTAAATCATTTTTCGTACGCACAATTATATTTAAAAATAAGGAAAAGTAAATCCCATTTCTACCTCGAGGCCGAAGAGCACATAAAGGAGGAAGATAAAACAGAACAAAACAGATGCCCATTGGTTTATATGTGCACCACCGACATGGATGAATAAGTTTAAAACAGAAAAGAAAACCAAGTAAAAAATGAAAATAACAATTATTTGTGTTAGATTATCATTTATTAAATATTATTCTTTTATCCAAACATTTCTTGTGATGCATATGTCATATATAAAAATCCATCTTCATCTTTTTCATCTCTATAAATTTCTGCCATTGTTGTTGACATAGATGCAATACTTTTATTATTAACAAGAAGATAAAATGCTTGATTTGCATTCAATTGCATACGATTTCTAGAAAATAAAATAGATAACTAATGGTATAAAATCATATAAAAATATTTTAAAATATATTATTACCGAATAATCGTTACAAATTGCGACATTGTCAATTCTTGTGGCACAAGAAATTTTGTTTTATCTAAAATAATATAATGAAAGAGATATTTCAACAACTATTTGATATACTGATATTTCTCTATAACATACCTAATATTGGAAGATCTTTTTCTTTATGATAACGTTCAACAATAACTGGAATTTTATTTGGAAACTTAGATCGTATACCAGCTACTTCTTCTTTTCTTGTAGCTTAAATAAAAGCATATTAAATAGTAAAATATGATAAATTATATCAAATTATCTATTAAATTTGTACACTTTATACGTTTTTGGTCATTTTAGAGATTTGAGATGAATTTTCTCGATGTCAGATTTTAATTTTGAAATAACAAAATTAAAATTAAGTTAAGAATACAGAGTGGGCCAAAAAAAACTTAACCACTCTGTATTTATTGACTTTCTTGTGTACAAATATAATTGAACTTTTCACCATTGGTTTAGTCGAGTAGAGCAAAGATTTTTGGACAAAATCAGACGTCTTCGAGCTCTCAAAGAGCTTTTCTCATGAAACAGCATTCAATTTATGGCAGACCCTAAGAGCGTATTTTTCTTGTTTTCCCGTTAATTGTCCCAATTTTGTTGATATCGGACCTTCCGTAAATTGAATGCTATTTCACGAGAAAAGCCCTCAGAGAGCTCGGAGACCTCTCATTTTGTCTAAAAATCTTTGTTTTATTCGACTAAACTAATGGTAAAAAATTCAATTCTATTTGTATACAAGAAAGTCAATAAATACAGAGGGAGGGAGTTGTTTTTGGTCCACCCTGTATTTAAGTGTCGACTTAGACTTGCTCAATTACTACTCAATATTTTTTGTAATATGACTTTCAATCTCTTGACTAACCTTTTGAAATACGGAGTGAGAATAATAAAAGAAATACTTGATTAAAATGAGTAGAACAACTGATTTTTGACTAATAATTATTTTCATCTTACCGAAGCTTTTTCTTTGTTTAAATGTTCGAGTATCTGCACTAGTTGATGATGGCATCTCTCCGTATGATTCGTTCAAAAAAGAGTAATAAATAAATAAATAAATAACAATCACAGAAGATGGTTAAAAAGATGGTTTTTCTCCTTCTTCTTTTTTGATGGCAATTAAACACGATGACGAATTTAATACGGCAAACACAGGTAGAAGTAGTTAATGATGAGAGACTGTCTACAAAAAGAGAAGAGTTAATTAACAATATGAAAAGATACAGAACGACGGTTTGTACTCTTTAAAATCATTTACAGTATGTTTTTTTAACAAACAAAAAACATGAGGTTTTTCTTTCTTTTTTATTATCAAACGTGCTATTTTTCTATTACGCAGTTCTATGCATATCATTGAACATTACGATGTTTTATATAGATAGAATTGTCGTCTATTTACTGAAAGAGATAACAATAATGAGAATAAGAGAAAAGATATACTACTTGTCAAATGATGACAAAATAAACGTGGAATTTATTTCGATATGACCTGATGTCATTTTCTATTGTTTCATTTTCTTTTATTCTTCTTCTATTTACTATTCCCACATCATATAATAGCAGGTATCATCAAACAAACGGATTTATTTCATACATTATTTATTAAAAAAAAAATAATATCAAATAGCATAAATGAGAAGCCATTTCCTGGTTAGAAAAAAATTTATTTCATGGTTTCTTTTTTATTCTGTTCTATAATAGGTATATAGTAGAGAGCATTCGAATCAACGCGTGAATAACTTTTACATAAACAAGCTATCTATCTGTTTTAGCATATAACAATAAAGTCTAATAACTAACTCAACCTTCAATGTCAAAAAACTAACTCAACCTTAACAGATTATCGTGCCATAGAGTAGAAATAATGATCAAAGTACCCAAAAACGAAATCAACTGCTGAAAATAAAGAATATATCATACTAAGATGACCTCCTCACCCTTAATCTCTTAGATCTGTTGTGCTTTTCTCTTCTATACCACATTGAATATATAGAGCTTTGTCAATGTGTAAAATCGAACAGACAAACATTGAGAAGGATCGATCGAAAATTGACTTTAGTAACACCGAAGTACAAGGATAATACTCTTCTCCGAAGCTAAGTCCTGCTATTTCATACTTAGCTACCGCTATAGAATAACATTAAAAAACATTAAGACTTCTTAATAACTGTTTTTCTTCCTAAGCGATAATTTTTTTTTTTGCTTTTTTACGCTATTATCACTGAGTCTGTATTTTATTCTACTTCACTAATATTTCTTTTAATTAGCACAGTTTTTCTATTTTCTTCCTATTAAGCACATATTCTTAGAAAATTGTTCATCATCAAATGACACGCATAGTTATCAATGAAAGAAATATGATGAGATAATATTTCTATATTATAACAAAGAAAATAAAATAACACAAAAGAGAACAAGATGAACAATAATAAAACAAAACAGACAGTATTCTAACTGAAAATAACAATAAAATGAATCTTAAATATCATACAAGAATTTTGTTTTCTACATACCTAAAAGAAAAAAAGAATAAAAAATGAAATCGTTCTAAAAAGATTATATAAAGTTGAAAGTTTTAACATTATCTATTAAAATTTGTTACTTCTAAATTGTAAGTTTAATTTTCAAGCATTTTTAGAAAATAACGTATATTTTCATAAATCTATAAAGGAGTGTGAAAACAAGACTAATTTTTTGTGTTCAAACATGAAAAATAAATAAATAAATATAAATGTTTTACTTTTAAAAAGCGAAAAAACAACAACAGAAAATTAAATCCTAACGAATTTCAAATCATCGGTGATTTAGTTCAGAAATAATTAACTATAAGTTTTAACGTACGAAAAAAGAACAACAAAACGCCAAAAATAAAAGAGACAATCGTATTTTTATTTGTCTAAAGTACAAGTGCTACTTACAAAACTCTTATCTAGGATAAAATCATTACAGAACACATACAAATTGAAGAGCAGCCAATGTGACCAAATGAATATATTTTCGTAACAAAGTTCAAAGAATAAATGCTATAATCTAATCATCCAACAATCTCGTCCGTTTTGTAAACTGAGAGCTAATGTTTTGTTTTGTTTTGTTTTGTACAAGACATCTAAGTAAAAACGGCTGAATCATATGTCGATGTTTGCCGTTGTTGTTGATGTCCACCACTTGCACTACTGTTTTTGATATTATTGTTCTGATATTTGTTATTATGAAATGATTGTGATTTAACATAATGATTTAGTGATGGATATAAATTTTCATCTAGATTTTCTGTTTCACAATAAAGTTTAATTGTTCGTAATAGATAATCGGTTTGTACTAGTAAATGATTAGCAGCTAAATAAACATCATCTCGTTTACTATCACGAAAGTATGCTTTTAATGTATTTGAAAAATTTTTTGAATATTTAATAAATTCTTTTTTTTCATTTTCTAATGCTTGACGACCTTCTGATGTTTTTAAATATTGAAATGTATTTGATACGGCATCTAATGTCTTCTTAATTGCACTTGCTATTTCTTTAATTGTTTCAAGAAATGCCCGTTTTTCATTAATATCGTCGGGAATACGACTTAAAATACGTTTTAAATTTTTTGAACGAAAATTGAGTTCATGAAATTCTTGTTCCGAACGTTGTAAATAATAAGATGTTTTATCACAATATTTTTCTAATTTTAATGTTAACTCATTCATATTTTGTAAATTAGATTTTTGTTGTTGAATGTGAGGTTCTTTTTCAATAAATAATTGTAAGAAATTTTTGGAAAATCCAGGATATTTATCTTCAAGTTGATAAAACATAGTACGTAATGGTTGTTGTAAATCTTTATAACCATTTTTATCTAACTGTTCAAATAATGGATAAAACACATTTGGTAATATTAAGGCGTTTGTTGGTACATCTTCGTTTGTTGTCATCCCTACAACTATGAGAAAAAAGTCTAAAAATCATTTCAATTATCAACGCAAAAATATTACCGATATATTTTCGATTGATTTATAGCAAAAGCATAATTGACTTTGAGAAAAATAATGTTAAGAACTAAACTTGTTCTAAAATTTATCGATATGTTCGTATTAACATCTAACAAAAATAAAAAAAGAATAATTTTTTATATAGAAATTATGGTGTTGCTTGTTGCTCGATTGCAACCAAATATGAAAAGGAATACAAAAACAAACGAAATATAGACCTGTAGCAGATCAAAAATCAAACAATTCTTTTTGACTAAAACGGTATTAGAAGCTTTGGTCTTGTAAGTAAGTACTACTCAGCATGGAATAGTAAAAATACAATAGATAGAGTAAAAATGTTTGTCAGGAACATAGCGCAACGTTCATAATAGAACAGAGTAAGAAACTATTTTTCGATGTGCGATATATTGTTTAGAGAAAAATCACTTTACTAGCAAAAATACAATATCAAAGATTAAGGTGTCTTTATTCATGAAAAGGTTTCCGAATTATCATATTAATGTCTCAAGCCGAACATAAAAATAAAGAGATCAATAAATAAACAAAAGACAACTAGAATAAGATAGAAAGTTTATAAAATAATAAAATAACCAGCCAATCAAGTTGATGAGTGTTTTCAATGAGACTTTTATGCATAGTGTACATGTACACTTTGTTTTTCATATTAAAGTGTAAAAAAAAGTCTGCTTAGCAAAAAAATAAAGAGTACGTACACGTCATTAAAAACACTGCACGGCGCTGACATGCTCTTTTTACTCATCTCTTCTAATTATCTGGAATGCAAAAAAACGTCATAAAATGTGTGAAGAAAATGAGAGGACAGAAGAGATATTGGTACTAAATAAAAAAAATCTTTCGTGGATCATAGACACCTCTTTTAGACTACTGAGACACGCCATTTTCTCTAACCTCACTTTACAAATTCTATATTGACGTTCAAACTACTCTTTAAATATTTCTCTTTTTCTCACTAGCTGTTTATCTATCTGCGGATGCCATGACTCAACAGTAAGTTATAAAAAATTTTATTTGAAAAGTGAGATTAATCATATGACATTAATCATACAAGATTCATGAAGCAACACCATCTCTATTTATATCATGACGAATTAGTTAGGTTAAGAATGATTTATCACCAATCCGCTAAAGAAAACAAAGTGCACGTATGCTTTGTTCTGTTGTGCACACTTTGTCATTAGAAATACTAAAATCGACTAGGAGCATGATTAAACCTCCACTGTGAAAAATAAAGACATAAAGCTTTTTTGAAAGATGCCAAAGAAGAAAAAGGAAGACACTCCTCAATCTGAAGGACACCCCTCAAGAACTGAAAACATAAAGTAAAGGGAAAGAATTTTCAATTCTATCCATTATAGTAACATTTTATTTTTAAAAAGCCGATTGATTAATTGTTATTTTTATATATTACATAATCACCATTATTTGTAATATATCATAAAAACCGTTATCTCATGAAAATCCTCTAAAACAAACGTCAGAGCTTGTGGAATGCTAGGCGAACAGAACGATGGCTTGACAACTTACAAAATAATACGACGGGTTTTTTGCGCCGGTGAAAAAAATTCCACCATGTCACATGAAACCACTAATGGATGGTAACCAATAGGAAACTAGTTAATGGCCTCTATAGGAATAGATGAAATAGTACGCTCGCCCACGCGCATTCTTTAACTTCAGAAAATGACATAAGATTTTTATGTGACGATATTTTTCTTGGTTCTTGGCTGAGTAAAAAGTGTAAAAATGAAGTTTGCTTAGGCCAAGATAAATTTTCTGTAAGCGCTAGTGTCAACGTAAACCACATTGATGTTGGCGCTTAATAAAAGAAATTTTAATGAAACCTTATCTCGACTAAGCCCTTGTACAAAAGAAAGTAAAAGATACAAGAAACAAATTTCAGTTTGCCATCTTTATATCTTCATCATTCTAAACTTGATGTTCGTCTTCATTCTTTCATTAATAGTTTTTCTTCTCAAACAGTATTGTATCTTCTTTTTTTCTATTTCACCGACTGAAATAATCGGTTAGCTGCTCTTCATACCATTGACCTTTGAAAACGCTCTATCTTAGCACCTCTTCTCTTATAACGAAATATGTTCGTTTTTTTTCTTTTCTTCTTCTAATGTATTTTTATATTTGTGTTTATACTTTTCCCTTCTTTTTATTGTTTATTTACTTTTTATTTTAATTTATGCCTAGATGTTTATAATCTCTCATTTGCTCGTGTATTTTTGTTTAGATGAGGTCATCTTTTTTCAGGTTGAAAATCTCTCTTTAATAGTTAGATTCAATTCATCTTGGATAGTTAGGCTTTTTGTGCTTATCTCATTATCATAGTTTGATTTCTTTCAAATTTAGTTTGTGTATATCCTAGTGAATGTACATATGTACTTTGATAAGTTCTGTTACAAGTAATACAAATCCAGGTATACTTATGAGTTTTCATAAGTATTCAAGTGAACACTTGTAAAGTACTGATTTATGAAATACTTTCCAAGTACTTGATTGAGTACTTTTCGAAGTTTGCAGGTATCGAAGGACTTGTTCTCAACTACAATTATTAGGGATTAAAAAAAAATTGAAATACCAATGAGATGTCCAAAAAGACGAAATTAAAAGGAGATAAGTTAAACATGATACATGATGATCTGACCACGTATGAGAGTCTACTGTAGTATGCGATGTGATAGAAGAGATGTGTTTATTTTGTTTCCGTTCTTTAGCAATACTAATTCATTGAATCAGCGTTTTCGAGTAGGTGGGGGAATTCTCCCACCTTGTTTGAAAAAAATTTACTCCTACCAAAACAAAAACTACTCCGAAAAGTTAAAAGCCATTTCGTTTTTTGGTTATCAACTAAATTTTTAGGCTTACTCCATAAAACTTCCTCCACCTTGCCAAAGTTATATCGAAAATGCTGCATTAAATGAAACAGAAAATACGATTCTAGTTTCATTTTATTTAATTTCAAAACTTTTATCTCATAAATTGCTAAAAAACGGAAACGAAATAAATATATCTTTTCTATCATTTATGATTATTTATAAGATGTGAGTTTTTTATATTTTAAGATTAAAAATGACTACCAATATAAATTTGTTTGCCGAATTCGACGAACAACAAGAAAATAATTCGAATATGATTAATAGTCAAAATCAGAGCCGTGCAGGTTGATCCAATTAGGTTGCAAAAGCTATAGATTAGGTTGCAAAAGTTATAGGCTAGGTTAAGTTATAGGTTGTTCAATTTTTTTTTCAATGGTTAGGTTAGGATTAGGTTGTCGAATCCATAAGTTAGGTTAGGATTAGGTTGTTCAATTTTTTATAGGTTAGGTTATAGGTTGCCAAATATTGGCAACCTACAGGGCTCTGCATGGAATAGTGATAAAACAATTAAAATTGACGGATGGGAATTTTTTTCGCTTTATTTTTACAAACACTCGATCAACGACATCAGTTTACTCAGATCTGATTCTTTTGTTTTTTGCCATTAGATTGTTTTTTCATCAACAGTTATTTTTCTATAAAGGATTCGTTTTTCTAATTCGTTTTTTCACAGAAAAAAACGAATTAGAGAAAGATCTATTTATTATTTGTGTATATCTGTAAGAAAAGGTTATCAATTTTTAATGGAACGTTTTACTGGTAAGCAACTTGTTGTTATCCTTATGCATTATACTCTAGTATCAATCACAATATTTGATCATCAACTCGTTACTTAAATGGATTCGTATACACTTACATCTAATTCTTTTTACTTATGAAAGGGTAAGTAAACTATGTTTTGTACAGTTATGCATTTTCTATTTCCTGCGTGGGAAAACATAGAGTTCATAGAGTATATTTAGCATTTAGTTGGTTTATTTGTTTCCTATTTCATCTCCGAAGACAAACTTTCACCTCTTTGAGATTTCTGTTCGTTTCATTTAATTCTAACAAAGTTACAATAATCTTTAAACTCAATCAAATAATTCGTTTTTTCTTTTCTATTTTATTGCTAGGTATGATTGTTATGAACATTTATTATTTCATAGGACGCTGATTTACTTCGTACAGAAAACAAATTATCATTATTATCCGACGACGAAAAACAAATTGAAAAGTTATATAATGAAGAAAAATATTTATCATTATATCGAGATTTTGATCAGGAAGCATTATATCAAGGTATGGCAGTCGACTAAAATATATTTGGATATCAATTAAGTCTATGGAAATAACCAAACGTCAAAAGATTCACCCTCTGCTCTTAAATGAACAATTTCTAATATGGTCAGATCATCGAGCATGTTTTATGTCACCAAATTTGAATCTTTGAAAGCGTCAGGAAAATTTCAAAATTTTTAATCTTGTACAATTTAGCCATGCGTCAAATTTCGATAGTAAAATCTCATGAAAACTTCATCAAAAGGTAATTTGTCACTTAGGAGTCTTCACTCTTCAGTAAAACTTTGGTGAACATAATACACACCGATTTTGATGTTTATAGAAGAAGAATGGAAGCGTTTTTGTGAATATGTTGCACGGAAAGGGTTAACTTTTGAGCGATCAATCTGGCCAAAGAATGATCAGTGATTTGCATTTATTGAACAAGATCATGTACACTATAATTATTATCAATTCAAAGTTCAATTATGTTTGGTATGTAGTCTAGGCATGCACCATTTTGGTCAATACTAGTTTTTGTTTTCAAATTACTTAACTACATTTTCTATTGTGCAGAGTTAATCTCTTGTGTAGTTTGATTAGAATGAATGAAAAACATGACTGTCTTATCATTCATTACATACCCGATTTGTTCCATGAATACTCTATTTCTTGGAATACTGACACAGTCACACTAATATGTTCGACTACAACATTCTAGTGCTTTATATCTTATGATTTAGTAATTTGACGGTGTTTCCTCTTGTAGCAAGAAATACGCCGTGCAAAATATGAAGAAGAAAAATGACGACTGGAACAAGAGCAACAAAATCAACCTCCTTTAGATTCACTTCATAGTCGCGGTATTAAATTGATGTTGAAAAACTGAAATAAAATGATGATAAAAATGCAAAACAAATATCATCACTCGAATTTGAGAAATATTTTTTTCATTTGAGAATTCAGACGATTAAGATAGAATAGCAAACGTTTATAAACAAGACTATAGTGAAGGAAAATAACGATAGATTATCGATCGATAAGAATGTAAAAGACCAAAGTATGTTACGGAACGTCAAATTTTTTTGCTGAATATCCAATAAGAAATTTAGTATTTAATGACTGGTCGTCTAAATAAGTGTAGTGTAGTCTTTCTTATCTTATAGGTGAAGAAAATGATCGAGATACGAATGATAGTAATATAAAAAATTCTACGTTGTCTCTATTAAATAGTGATCAAGATTTAGAAGAGAAAACTAAAGAATTTTTGTCTCCAACCAGCTTCACCTATGGAACTCATTAGTGTGGACAAAGTGTCTAAAGACGAATTGACGAATCGGAATTTTTGGGCGTAAAAATGATGCAACAATTCGCATTTTACCATTGTTTTGCGAATTCGTAGGGAATTCGTAATTCAATGCGAACTGATGCGAACTAACAAAA